CAAAGTGGGTGGTGGTGGTGGTGGTTGATACTGTTCTTCAGACATCGTAATCTTGGTCTTGGTTTTCTTGGTCTGACTCTGGATTGATGTGAGGTTCGTCGGAAGAGGGGTCTTGATATAGCTCCTCGGTTTGGGGGAGGGACTTAGGAGAACCAATGGAACCGCTTTCACGTGGGGGTGAATTGGGGGGAGGAGTCACGCCGAACAGGTGACTGAGGATTTTGATGTGTTCTTCGTTTGTGTAGGTGGGCGGTCCGTGGACGACGTCATCAGACCATTCACGTGGTGCGGTGATGATCTGGGCGTCGGCTCGGCTTTGCGAGAGCTTTTGCCGGATGTTGATTTCAGAGTCGACGTGCTTGCGGGCCTTGCGAAGGACGTCCCACGTGGTGTCGTTATAGTTGTCTTTGGGAACGGTACAGGTAAAGGTACACCACGGATGCTGTTGGTTGCAAATGAAGGTAACGTACCGTGCGTGAAAGGTAGAGGTTTCTACAGTACAGTGTTCGCTATCACGATCGGTGAAGTAATAGGTGCAGGGTTTATGGCAAAGGCAGTGAGGCAGTCGAGGATTGCGACGTCCGCTCATGTTGAAGTTGGTGTGGGGTGTGGGAGTCTGACGAGGGCACGACGTTTCTTGAGTCCGTAAAGTAATAGGCACCAGGTCGTCCATGAAGGCGAAGAGGCAGTACGGCCTGTGTGTTCGCGGGAGGAAGAGGCACCAGTTTCCCCGGGAAGGTGAAGAGCAGGTTGGCTTGACGATGTTGACTCATGTTGAAGTAGTGAAGTTGTGGCGTAGGTTGTGATACAGGAGATGTATTATTTCGGTGGGGGTCAAGCGTAGGGCATCGCACATGAGGCGTTCCCAACACGAGGTCATACAATAGGCGTGGAGGTTGCAGGAGTCGTCGGTCAGGTCACGTGGGTTGACGTCAGAGCGAAGGATCTTGTTGATGAGGTTGCTGATGACCCAGAGTTGATTGCTTTCTTGACCTTGAAGGGGCGCGGAATGATATTGAGGATGAAGGCGCCAATGACGGTAGAAGCTGCGCATGTGCAAGCGTTGGTTCTTCCGGCTGGACCAGTTCACCCAGGGGGCGGCATGGGTATCTTCGGGGAGGTCTTTGATGGTGTCCATGCAATCCAAAAGAAAGGTGAGGATGATGAGGCGCATGCGCGGAGTGAGGTGAGCTTGCTTGATTTCCCACCAGCGGTTGGGTACGTCGTAGAGGTAGTCAAAGTGAGTTTGTCTGATGCGATCGTCCACGTGCTGAGTTGTGCGAGTTAGGGCCATGTTTAGTTGCGATGAGAATCGAGGCGGGATTCGTGGTTAAGTGCGCCAATAAGTTCTAGGAGGGGAACGTCTTTTCTGTAAGCTTCAGCGGTGGAAGGATCGAGGCGACTGAGGTCGAAGTCTGTGTTGACCACGTTATGAGCCAAGATGCGGTACTTGCTGAAGTGCAGCCAACGGCGGGCATCGGAAACGCGGCGCGCCTCGTAGAGGTCTTTGATCCACTGGTACTTGGGTTTGACGTAGCCATGTTCTTCGAAGTAACAGTCGTGTTGGGCATGCACGAGGTCCAAGCAGTCGACGTAGAACTCCAGGAGCTTAAGACGCTCTTGTACGTCGTGAGGAGAGTCGTCGTTTTCGTAGATGGACGGCAGGCTCCAGGAACGGAGGCGCTTTTCGAGGAAGGCAAGAGCGCGGGTACGGGGTCTTGTTGCTTGCATGGTAGTTGGGTGGGTTAGTGGTTTTTCTTTTTTTCCAACGTCCGCGTCCATGCCGTAATGATTGGCTAGGAGGTCGAAGGCGGGAATGGACATGTATTGTCCGACGGTCATTAGTTTGCTGAGTTCGGTACTTCCGTGGGAGATGATTCGTTTGAGGTGACCTTTGTATTCTTGAACGTGGGCGTAACGTTGCATGACGCCATAGTTATGAGACTTGTAATCGTCGGACAACCATTGGTGCTCTTCCTTGACCTTGGCGATGGGATGGATGACGTCCAAGCAATCCAGGAGGTAAAGAATGAGCATGAGCTGAGTCACGCGGTGACGGAGGTCTTGCGGAAAGCAGGCACATTCTTGGACTTGATGGAAGTTGAGGCGATCGAGTGTGGAGGTGATGAGACGGGTGTGATAGGTTTCGGAGGTTTCCATGAGGAGACTGATGCACGTCCGTAGCGTGTTAGAGTTTTTCTAGACCTTTCTTGACGCCGAACCCCACCCCTGCTCCAACGGCGCCAAGGCTGGCTGCTTTGGCTGCAGCAATGGCCGCAGGAATGAGCGCCAACAAGGGGAAGAGTCCGCCTTGCTGAGAGCGTCTCTTTCGTCTTCGTCTAGCCCCTACTTGACCATAGTTTTGTTTTCGTGGTCTGGAACGGATGTTTCCTCCTACTTGCCCATAGGTTCGTTTTTTCTGGCGTGATCGGATGCCTCCGCCTCCTTGTTTACGTGGCATGTTCGTATTGGTTGATGATGCGGCGCAAAATCTAATAAAGGGGGCTGAAGGCGAGCGAGCTTTTATTCATTTTCATCATGACTACCACGTTTGAGATGAAACCAAGGTCAGCATCGTTACTCGTACCTACGGCACCTAGAGTGGACGAACCCGGGGCAACGTTTGAGGTGACAGACGAAGTGATGGCCACCATGCCATTAGACGTGAAGCAGGGATCCCCCATTTATTTAAGACCGTTGTCTTCCCGTGTCCACCCGAGTCGTGAAAATTGGGTGTTGGGATTGGATAAAATAAAGAATCCTGCCAGAAAGGAACAGAGTAACGCGTTGCTGTTGTTGGATTCTAAGTACAACGATTTGCTCAACCTTGAAAAGACCTTGTTGGGGGGAGTCATGATGAGACTGAAATTTTTTAAGACCAACAGACGAGACGATGACTTGGAAGGAGACGAGCCTGTGAGGTCGAGCATGGGTGAGCTTCATTACGAATACAGAGAAATGATAGCTGCCATTGCTAAGGCTAGGAAGGAGACCTTGGGCTTCATCATGACGTTGACTCGTTGTTGTGGTAACAAGTCGAGCGACGAAGAGGAGGAAAATGAAGACGAGGAGGAAGACGAGGTGGATGCTGCTGCCCGCAGGAAAAGGAATCAAAAGAAGAAGGAACAGAGAAGGAGAAAGAGGATGAACGAAGTGGTATCCGATCCCCGAGGAAGAGACGAAACGGACAGAAAGGACATAAAGGGACCAGAAAGGGGACACAAGTACCAATTTGTTGAAGCAGCATGGGGAGACGCAGACGACGTAGAAAGCATCAGGCGGGAGGCAGTAGCATCTTTCACCGGTTGAAGAATCGTGCTCAGGAAAAGCTTAGTAACGTAGTAGCCAGCAAGGCGCAAGGAATAGCCGGCAAGTTGATTAATTCTAAAGTAAAGTCCAAGAAAGCACGTGCTTTTCTTCACAACCAATTGAAAGCCGCCGTACCGTTTATTAAGAAGCAAGTCGCGTCATGCATACAGTCAGGAAGCGGAGCGAGCAAGGACATGCAACGGGCCATGCGTGCGATGCAGAGATTTGAAAGAGTGAAGCTAAGACGACGACGATGATTTTGACAGTGATGACCGTGACGTTGATGATGTGGGAGGAGTGGAGTCGGAGGAGGAGGGGCATAAAGGTCTCAAAATTCGCACACGCCGTGTACCGTGCACTCATTACTCGAACACCGTCGTGGGAAGAAGATCTTCGTTAATGCGGAGGAGGCGTCGAAGGCCCAAGAGAAACGAAGACGAAGAAAAGATGTATAAGGCGGTAATGGGGCACATAGGATCGTTGAGGATGATGCTGGCTCAAGAGGGCGTGCACTTGGGGACGTACGGACGAGTGGTGTACGGCTTGCTACAAAGCATGGAGTACGATGTCATTTGTGCTGAAACTCAGAAGGAACAACGAAGGGCACGAACAGACCTTCATCAGCTGTTGAGCGAATCTTTGGATGCCTTGGGCGGGGACAAGTACGTCAAAGGCCCTAAGGACGAAAGTGTGATTGAAGGAGAAGGAACCGCATCAACTGAAGACGAAGGACCTATTGAAATCGTGACTGAAGTGATCAAGCCATTGCAATCCGTGAAGCCCGTGAAAAGAAAGAGAAAAGCGAGGACAAGAACGAAGGATGAAGCCAAGAGGAAGGTACCGACGTTGATGAAGGAAGGAGAGATCGTACAAGTGGAAGTCCCTGCAGGTCCCCCAGGCGAGGAAAGCATTTCTCCTCTCGAGGAAGAAAATCTGAGGATGCTCCTAGACTCCATTACCAACCCACAGCAGACATCAGTCTAGACATTTGATTGTGAAGAAAAAGTGTAGTAAAATTTTGTTTCATGTAAAAATAAAGAGATCAGACTTTTGTGTTACTCAAACGTTGTCTTTATTGCTTCTACATTTACATCTTTGCGGCAACAATTGCCTTGACAGGGTTGACCCAAGGGTCCTATCTTGCTGTTGAACTTGGGACGGAGGGACTTGGGAATCATGACTTGACAAACGAACTGACAGACTTTCTTGTCGTTGTCTYTCTTGTTACGAGCGGTGAAGGGCTTGACGAACTTGGAAAAGGAACCGCCACGTGCCCGGGTGTAGAGATAGGCCAGACAGTAATGCCCGCAGACGTACGTGTTGCAGGCTTGCAGCTGAGGCATCTTGACCACGTCCGTCATGTCGATGAGCTCTAGGAGAAGTGGATCTTGATAGATCTTGAGATTCTGGGATCCATACGAGTCCATGATTTCGATGCGTTTGGTATCGACGTCTGGAGCGTACAAGGCATTCCAATGTTGACCGGGCTTGTCGATGGGGTGGGTATTGAACACCATGCCCCAAGGTCGGGGCGGGTCTTGCCCATCGCGGTACGTCTTGAGAAGGGCTAGAGCTTGGTCGGCGCCTTGAGTGCCGACGTAGGAGTACGTGGGGTGCTTGTGATAATTGGGAGGGTACGAAGCGACCGTGTTGATTTGATCGGTGAGGAGTTGACTCCTTCTGTTCATGATCTAATAGCTGTATCTCTGGGAAGCGTTCTTGTTACCATCCAACCACGTTTCTTGTTCAAAGTATCCGCTGACGACCATGGTGGTGTTGTTGGCTGTGTTGGCTGAGAAGTCGACGTCGATGTTGACGTTGCCTACGTTTCGAGCGTAGCTGTAGCCAAAGTTTTGTTCGCCGTCGGGGTTGAAGTTGTAGAGGATGAGATAATTGCCGTCCTTATACCCTTTTTGATCGATGCCGGTGGGTGCAGAGTCGATGCCTCGTCCTGAGAACTGAAGGAGGGTATTGAAGCCTTCTTCTTTATGATGCGAGGTCAGGTCCAATCGCTGATGGGGAATTTCTTCTCCGTCGACGGTCACGCGAAGGGACGATTGATTCATGTCGCAGAAGTTGTATGGAGAATGAGCTATGTCCCCATCAAAGGCAGCACCTCGTTGAAATCCAACGATCATGTAGTTGGGTCGGTACCCCTGAAACACGTTATGCATCTGAGCCCGTCGTCGACCATCGGGAACGGTGTGGGTAACGGTTCTGTTGGTGAAGTAAGGGTAGAGGGCAATGTCTTGGTTTTCCAACATGGCAGCTTCCATCTTGATGTGCAATTCGCTGTTGACGTCCACGTGACGAATGTGCAACTTGGGAGAATAGTTAACTATGGTGTAGGAGGCGTTGGGCTGGGTAATGGCTGTAGCACCCACGGTGACACCATTCATCATGACCAATTCTCGAGGATTCCATTGGATTCGAAATTTCAATTCGCAACCAGGATTCAAGTAGCGCTGACTGGAGAAGAGGGGAATGACGGGCCTGAGGACGAACTTGACGGCACGACCTTGACAACACAATCCAACACGTTCCTTAGCTCCTTGGTTGGGAGTGACGCGATTGAATGCAGCCCGAATGGCGTTTCCTACTTCTCCAGCTGTGATTGCATCACCGCCGCCACCAGCGGCTATGACTGCGTCTGCGATGGCCAAATCGTTGGGATTGAGCTGATCGAATTTGTCGGGGGTGTCAGTAGCCCATCCTTCCAGGGACAGCAGGGATTTCTTTTCTTCTTCAGAATAGTTGAGCAGTCGGTCGAAGTAAGCTTCTAGATGGTAGTGATCGGCGTTGACGGTCACGGCTCCTTTGTTAATAGTCAGTTGAATTTGTTTGATGAGGGAGTGAGCCACGTTGTTAATGGGGACGGCTGACGAGGTATTGGCCAGGAGTGCACGCGCGGCACCGGCGCCGCCGTTATGAAATTCCACGTCGAATTCCAGTAGGATCTTGGTCATGTCGATCCAGGTACGGGTTCGGTCTACAGTGATTTCCAAAGGGTCCACGGCAGCCGTGGCTTGCGAGTAGACTTCCCATTTGGATTTTTCGCACGTGACGTCGATGGGCAGTCGTTTGAACAAATCGACCACGGTCCCTTTGTGTACTTTCAAGGGAGGAGCATCTTCGCGCGTGGCTTTGGCAGCAGGAGCGGTACGTCCTCCGTGTTGTCGTTTCATGACGAGGTCGAGTGACGAATCAGGGTAGGTCGGGCAGGTCGGCGGTCCTTTTTATATGGTCTAACTGTTGAGGATGTCGTTTCGCATAACCTTGTACTTGGTACGTCCACGCGTGAGCACCCCTTGCTTTTCGCGTTTTTGGGCAGGGGTCAAGGTGTTGTCCTGAGCAATTTTCTTGGACTTCTGATCGATGGCTTGGATGAGGTTGTCTACCTTTTTCAACTGCTTGACTTGTTGAGGCCTGAGGTTGTTCAGTGGCGTAGACGTGCCAGGCACGTTCCCAAAATTGATTTGACGTTTGAGTGGGGTCTTGCCTTTGCCTGTATAACCACGACCACGACCACGGCCTGGACCTGAACCCGTACCCGTACCTTTAGGAGTAACGCTTCCAGGCCCAAGCGTGACTCCCGAGGGTCCTGCAGGAAGAGACCAAGCAGGGGTGGTGCCAACGACGGATCCAGGACCAGGAATAAGAGCAGGAGCAGGACCAGGGGCAGGACCAGGTGCAGGCGCAAGAGCAGGACCTGGGACAGGAGCCGCTGCAGGAGTAAGTCCTTTTTGAGCCATGGCTTTTTGGTCTTGAAAGCTGGCHGCATAGTTGGTCATGAAGCGAACGCGCTCGTCGGGCGTGAGACTGGGATCGGACATGACTTGCTTGACCATCTTATCCGCGTACTTGACGAATTCCACCTTGGGGGATTGCTGCAACGATTGTTGAACGGCCATGGTATGCAACAATTCGTTCATGCGGACGTTTCCATTTCGATCCACTCCTGCGATGGCTCCTCCGGCTTGGGACTTGGCGGTGGAAGCAGCTACATTTTCTTTGAGTTGTTTGAGTTCTTCTTGCAGACGATTCCAGAGAATGACGGGAACCACGTAAGAGTTGGTGCCTGTGCTGCTGTTCATTTCGTAGTGGTGACGACCTGACGACCTTTATGATAAAGCGTAACGGGTCGGCCTTTTATGACGACATCCAAGGAGTCGTTGTTGGACGTAAGATGCCGGAGACTGGCAGGTGCCATGCGGCGAAGAGTCTGAACCTTGTTGGAAGGCATGGCAGGGCGAGGTTGTGAAAATCGGATGTGAAAGGGGTTGGTTACGGGTCCGTAGTCGGGAATGCCAGGAGCCAAGGTTCCACGCAGGGCCGCCTTGATCTTGGGCGTGGCATGCCTCTTGGTGGACGAACGTTTTCGCTTGGCGCCGCCCAACTGAGTATGCTTTGCACGTTTCTTGCCCCCACGTTGACGTTGGCCTTTCTTGTAATTAACCATGATGCCTATGTTTCAGTGAGCAATGCCTTCAATTCGTTGTCGCCGTCGTAATCAAAGTCTTGAAGCGAATCGGCGGCCGAGGGGTCCTCCTTTTTATCTTCTTTGGGGGTTCCTACCTTTTTGATTTTGGTCGTGGCCGCGTTAATGCCTTCGGCCAGAGCTCCTGCGGCCGCATGCTTGGCCAGACTCACACCAGCTTTCTTGAGGCTGGGAGCTGCGATCTTGGCCAGGGCTTTGATGGCCGTGCCTACCAATTCGGCTTTGGATCCTCCTCGCTGAAGGCTAGAGCGTCGTAGGCTCTGAATGGAAGGATGYCGATCGTTGACCACCGACCCGAACCAACGTCGAGCGGCCTTGGGCATTTTCTTGCTTCCTCCTTTCATGGGGAGTTCCYCATTGGCTAGTTTTTTGCACATGTCTTTGATGTACTTCCATTGGTCGTCGCTACCGCTACGTAGAAGAGGAACCACTTGCGTAGGGTGGCATTGTGCCAAGGAGCGTATATAGGACTTTCCATCCATGCTGTGAAACATTCGGTGCGTCGACGTTATGTCCTATGAACGTGTGGGKGCTCAAGATTTATACCTACGTTACGGTTTAGGACAGCATACCGAGCGCGAACCTTTCTTCCAAGCTCCGGGTGTTGCTCCTCGAACGCCCCGTACGACGTCCACGGCCGAGCGGGCCGCCGATCGTTTCCTGATGAATACGCCCGTCCCACCGCCCATGTCGCCGTTGCCTTCTTCGCCGACGCAAGACTACGATGCGGACATGCTGCAGTTGTTAGGCTCGCCTTTCAACTTGCCGGACGACATGGCGAGCGTTCTGTCTAGCGACACGCCCTTGGCGACGGGAAGCGACTTGGTCCGGGCCATGGACCTACCATCACCCGAACCATCACCAGGTCCATCCCCCGATAGAACGCCCGGTGCATCGCCAACCTTTTCACCCTCAGCATCGCCTGCGGCATCACCCCCTTCGGAAGTGGCGAATTTGGCGGCATGGACGCCAAGCAGTGGAAGGAGTTTGACATCGTTGCCCGACGCTACTTTGGATCAGATGAACAAGGAGGAATTGCGCGAGTACGCCGACGCCTTGAAATCGTTGGCGGAGAAGTACCCCCAGGTGAAAGAGACCTTGACGCCTACCATCAAGAACGTGATGACGCGGGTGGACGGCCGATGGCGAGGCAATCGAAGCGAGAAAAGGATGAACTTGGCCGAAGTGGAAGAATACGTCAAGGAATTGGAAGCTACCGATCAAAGCAAGTTTGACGAAACGTCTCAAATGCGGATTCGCTATGCCCTGGAAAAAGCCCTGGCGCGACGACTGCAGCTTCGCAAGGAAGCCGAACAAGAGAGGAGGAGGGATGATGATGGCGGGGACGACGACGAGCGAGGGTGGGACGATCCAGGAGGAGACGATGGCGACGGCGATGACGACGACGACAAGAATGACGATCATGGGGAACGATTCAAGAACGCGGATCAAGACACCGTGTCTAAAGCATTGCGCAAGAAGCTAGGCAAAGGGGATCATCAAACCATCGCCAATACCACCACCGTGACCACAGTCCGTCGAGGCAAGCGGCCCGTAGTGGAACGCGAGCATAACAGCCAAACCTTCCCTGGCCCAGGCAGTGATAACGACGATGATGATGATGATGATGATGATGGCGGCGATGACGCGACTATTGAGGGCGGCGTATTGCGGCGTAAGCGAAAATCTCGAGTGTCCAAATCCAAACCTCGTCGCAAGAAACACAGCCAACAGGGAGGGTATAACAAGATCCCTCACGAGGTAGTGGATCAGTACATTCGCTTTCTTCGCGACGCCAAGAGAAAGAAGCTATCATGAACGCAGAAGCAATCAAACCGTTTAACTCACGATGGCAGCATCCGTGCAACATCGTCGTGGCCGGACCCTCCAAGAGTGGCAAGACGCGATTCATTCGCAAGATGATTCGTCATCGGGCTTGGAAGTTCGATCCTCCCATCAAGTACGTGGTGTACTTGTACAGCATATGGCAAGACGAGTACGACAACATGAAAAAAGAATTTGGAGACGAGGTTAAGTGGGTTAAAGGATTGCCAGACGACCCCTATGCCCTGTTCAAGCGAACCCCAGGACTGCTGATCGCGGACTGCCTGATGGGGGAGATGGAATCGGATCATCGTCAGATCTCGAAGTGGTTTACCAAGGGAACCCACCACATGGACGTGAGTTTGGTCGTGCTCATGCAAAACGTGTTTCCCGTTCACATGCGAACCGCCTCCCTCAACGCCCACCGCATCGTGCTGTTTCGCAATCCTCGAGACAAGTCTCAGCGGCAAGCCTTGGCGCGTCAAGCGTTTCCGGGTCAAGCCAAGAGGTTGAACCGCGCTTTGGAGGAAGCCAACAAGCGACCGTTTCGCCCCCTCATCATGGACTTCGATCAATCCACGCCCGACGAGTACCGGCTGTCGTTGGACCCCTTCCCTGAAGACTTGAAAGATTCAAACAAACCCTTCCCCCAAGTCATACTGCCCTAGTTGTGAAATAAAAAGAAACGAACACACCGTGTCTTCTTTACTTTTCTTTTAATCTACAACCATAGCGATGCGTCCATCGTACATCTTGACGAAAATATCGTAAGCTTTTACAATGTCTCTTTCTTTAGTCCGTATGCCTTGTTGGGATCCATGGGTCATACGGTAAGTAATGTACTTGGTATACCGCTCTTCGCTGAGGCGCTTGAATACGCCATTCTCGGTAATCAGTCGGGCTTGATTCATTTTCTCTAGTCGAACAAAGCGTTTAGGGTAGATTTGGCGTACTTGGATCCGGAACTCTTGATGCTTTTCTTGACGCTTCCCACTTTGCTGGCTTCGGCGTCTATCTTTCGTTTCAAGTCGACTCGAGATTCGGTCGCTTCGTCTTTGAGGGCTTCTTTCAAATCTTTACCTTCCAGTACCTCCGAGGCCACGTTAGCCAAAGCTTTGCCTCCACGGTCCACAGCAGCGTCTTTTACAGCATTAATCTTCGGTAGGACGTATTGCATGGCCCCACGCCCCAACCGGCCAATGCTTAGTCCTCCTCCGGCTTGTCGAGGGGTATAGACGGGAATGTTACCGCCTCCTTCTTGGGGGACGTAGATGGGAATGTTCATACTCCTTTCTTGAAATCCAACGATACGGTGGTTACTCCTAAATTGAGGAAGGGAAGCTCTTGTCCTGCTTCGTCTTGTACGGCAAAGGCCACGGTCTGGTAAGTATTCTTGGAGAGGGGGTAGTATTTAACGTGTTGGGGTTCGAACACGTATTCCTTGGGTTCGGCTGCGGCACCCATGGCCACGGACGAGAGGGGAACCACGTCCATGAGAGGGATGTTCTGATCGCCTACATGTTGATTGTGGACCAGGCTGCAGGTCACATAAGCATTCTTGGGAATGGCCTTGGTGTTGGTGACCACGTCAATAGCGTAGGGACCACTTTGAGAACTGAGGACGTCCTGGTTCCCTCGAAGCTGAGTATACTGATACCCCTTGATACGAGCCACGCGATTGGATTGGGGCTCCGTATTGGTCTTCTGATCAGATTCCACGTGACCTGAAGGTCTCCATCCTTCCTTGCACGTGATCCTGACAAATTCGCCTTGGCCCATGACGGCGGCGTCCACGCTTTCGTACTCCAGTCCAGCACTCGATCCATTGTTAAAATTCATCAAGTCGTAGAACCCTTTGGGCATGGTCAGGTACAACTCGCTGGGGGTAATGGTAGTAGTCGTGGGTCCTGAGGACGGTGGTGGGGGTCCAATATCAATGGACCCCAAGCGTTCGTAAAATCCCATCTTCAAGTAAAAGCGGTTGAACGTACTAACTTCAAGGCTGGTCTGGATGAGGTATACGGGAGAATGATCCGCCGTTCCATCACGATAAAAAGGAGGGTTAAAGGCATGCCACTGAGTTGTGCCGTCTTGTTGAATTGTTCCTTGTATGGGGGCGTCGGCATCATCAGGGCTAAAGCCCAACCGTACCATCATCAGGTTTCTCGTCGGAGCGTTGGTTCCCACCAACACGTCATGACGTGACGTAAAGTCCCACTTGGTTTGGGTCTGGTCGGCTTCCATTTTGATTYCATTAGCATGGAATAGATCGTAGAGGTCGTCCAAGCTCTTTCTTCCCGTGAGGTCCACGTTAATGAGCACATCGCTGCCCGAGGAGTCATCCACCCATGTGGCAACGTGGGCCCTACTCACCCTTCCAATTCCGAGCCCATGAAATGCTCCTCCGACCCCCCCATCGGCCTGCTTTGCTTGCGTTTGTGGAAACCAACTGTCAAACACACCATCCACGCCTTTCTTGAATTGGGCACACAAGTCTTGGACGCTGTTGACGTTGTCTAGGGTAAACGTGTGCTGGGCATTAGCGGGCAGCTTGCTTTTCAGGTACCCGCCGGCATCCAGTCTAAAGGTCCATTGGGTGGACTTGGAAGTGCTGGCCACGGGCGGCAGCGTCACCTTGGTCAATCCTACTCTCCATTGATCACTCATTCTTTGGGATGCCGGTAGTTCGCCCGTAAAATTCCCTGGTCGGTTGGAAGGAAAACGAGGTTTGGATTGGTTGGACAGAAGCGTCAAGCTCATAGGGGAAGAATCGTACTCGTCGGCTTGAGGTGTGAAAAGAAGGCAGAGGGTCGTGTCTTTAGTAGGTCTGTCTTTCAGCCAGACTGGAGGCCGGCCCTTGGTGTCGGCCAATTTAAACCCTACGCTCTCGATGTAACTGCGGTTCACGCGTCGGCGAAAGGGATGCTTGGATTCTTGGTAGCGGATGGCTTGAGCGGAGGACGTGGTAATACGCTCGATCAGCGGAAAATAATCGTGACCCACGATCTCGTAGCGAATGAGATTCGTGTACAGCAGCAAGTCGCCTTTGGTCTGTGTGGTTTCGGGGGTCATGATGGCTTGAATTTCCACCGACCACACGCACGGCAAGTGCCATCCTATGGGCAACTGGACCACGAATTCCGAGGCGGTGTTGTTGTCGGTTTGGGGGTACTCGGGATCTGGCTTGCTGTTGAACCAGTAGATAAACGGTTTGCGTTCCAACCTCATGGTTTCTTTTTGGGCCCCAAATCTTCGACTTGGCGTTCGTCGATCCAATTGGCGTACTTTTCAGGCCACCCTTGATATTTGACCAGCACTTGGGGACGACCTGTAGCGGGGTCCGTCCTGCGTTGAAGTATCTTCTCGATGCGATAACGCATGTGCTTTATTTCTTCGTCTTCGACCTTGAGCAGCTCCTCTTCGTAAAACGTGCCATTTAATATGTCCTCGCCGTCGTAGTCCATCAAGCGGTAGTACGCGGGAGGGCCTGGGTCACGAGCTCGAATCTTGAACCATTCTTCCGACCACTGAGGCAAATAGCCCTTGTCGAAGATCGTRGTTTGACGGCTGATCCGGACCACGTCGCCCAGGTTAAACTTGTAAGGGCCTTTGAGCTTTTGTCGTGCTCCTCGTTCGGGGCCGTACTCGCCGTACAACTTTTTCCACACCTCCCCTTCGTTGCCGCGATGGACCGAGGCCGGCGATTGCTTCAACGTGCCGTGTCGTTGATGGTTGTACGAATCCGTCAACGGACCAATCACGTCCACCCACCGTCGAGTCCCATTTTCGTAGAAGTACTTCCACAGCCTCCCCTTCAACGTCCGCTGCAACCGTTCCACGATGGCGGCCTTGGTGGTGGACTCCCCCGACATGAGCTTGGGCGGAAGGGGACAGCTGGCAAACAAATCCTTGACGTCTTTGTTATAGAACTCGCTCCCATTGTCTACGTACACGGTACGTGGCAACGTATGTTTCTTGTCCGGGTCTTGGGCCACTTCCTCAAAGATCTCGCGAATGCCCCGTGCCGTTTCTTCCCCTGTCTTTCGTTTCAGCGGCCGTACCCAGCAGTACCGCGACAGCACGTCGACCACGAACAAGATCCACCCCATCCCATCGTTGGCCGGCTTGTCCCACGTCATGTCCGACAAATCCATCTGCCACTGCTCGTCCATGGAAAACACGACAAAGGGACGACGAGGATAATTACGCCGTGCTGGGCGATGAATTTGGTGTGTCGTCTGCGCTTCCAGCCATTTCTTCCTCGTGGCTTTCGCTCGAGACCCCTTGGAGACGTCGCCGGGATCGGACAAGAACGCGGAGGTTCCCACTAGGGCTTGGGGGTGTTGCGCCCCCACTTCGAAATACCGGCTGTACCATTTGGAAGCTTGCTTCTTGCTGGCCACCGTGGCGGCGGCGGCTGCGATGCTCTTTCCTTTCCTCCCTTTCGTCTTTCCAGCGGCGGATCGACCTTTGCGCGTGGATGACGATGGATCCCCCGCAGCACGACGAGAGGCAGCATCGGACGCGTGCTTGACGTCCGCAGCCAATGCGGTTGTTGCTGATGTCGCCATCAGGCTGATCGTCGTTGCTTCCCGACACGATGGCGGCGGCTTTCTTGGCCAACCAACGTCCGATTCGTCCTGCGGCGATTTGAGTCATGACGATGATCACATTTCTTTTTATGTCCCCCTTCTTTTATGGACCTTTAATAACCATAAGGCAACGTGGTCAGTCCTTGATCAATACGTTGTCGCTTGGTATAGACCAAGCGAACGTCCTTGTCCATGGGCACCGTTCTCAGTACTTTGTGCGCGCTGTCCCTCACGATCTTGCGTGGGTAACCCACCGTTACCTTTTCATTCTCCTGGACGAGCAGACGTTTCATGCTCTTCAGGTGGACCAGTTCCTTAGCACAGGGGGTCAAACTGATGCCCTTGCACTTCACGACGCACTCGCCCTTTTTGGTACGGTACGCGTACGTCTTGGGGCCCAAGGAGACGTATTCCACGATCCAGTTGGTTTCCGAATCGCCGCATTCGTCCGACCATTGCCCCAGCTGATCCCCCGTGTCCAGTTCGTCGTCTCCTTCCCGCACCGTCTTGTAGATGATGGAATCCGTGTCGTGGTACAGCACGCGATCCCCCAAAGCACTCAACTTGTCGTACAACCGCAAACGGGCCCAGGCCGTCACGAACGCCGGGATGACGACGTTGCCGTTGGGGTTGCACGCCGTGGACTCGCGGTGCACGTCGTAGTTGACTTGCACCATGTCGCCCGTCAACAGCAGCACCGTCTTGACGTTAACCGTATCGTCGTGCAGCAGTTCGAAGAAGCGGCAAGGTTCCGTGATGTACTCCACCTTACCGCGAAACGGATTCTGTCCGAACTTGCCCCACAACGAATTCAGGTTCAACTTGGCCACCGAACGCAGACCCGGATTTTTTACGACGTTCTCGTACTGAAGATCAATGCCTTGGCTGGTCTTCACGGACCGCATGAACTCCCTCTTTTTTTCTTCCGTATCGCAATCGGACGGCCACCCCGACGCCTCCATCTTCATCTTCAAATTTTCACGAATGTACGATTGAAACAGATCGCTGCTGCGTTCGGGGTAGTGCCATACTTCGTGAACTTGAGCCACTTCGTACCCCTGGTTCAGCGCTTCTTTCAATTCGGGGGTCGTCCACACGCCGTGCCGCAAGCGACGCTCTTCTATGGTGTGCGTGCACTCTCCGTCCTCGTCCACGTCCTTTTCGTCACAGCAGGCCGCACACAGCGTGAACATCAACTTGTGGTCGGCGATGCGCGAAAGCACGGGGAAGAACAATCCACGGGGAGGGTCGACGTCGCACTTGACCAAGCCAAACCACTCCTCGTCCAGGATGCAATCGGCTATCTCCTCGGGGTCCATATCTAAGTCTTCGCCCAAGTACACCATGGGGTGGCCTATGGGGTACTCTGCCTCCCACATCACCGTAGGGTACAGCGACACCACGTCCACGTACCGTATGCGATGCACGGGATCCGAGCACAACATCAAGGCCATGGCCTCGTCGTCCGACTCGTCGACGTGCACCTTCCCCTCGCAGTACGCGTAGAGACCCACGGCGTTGGTGCGTCCTCCCATCAACGCTTCGCGAGGCTGTATGGGGTCCAAGTTCTTGATCCACTCGGGGAACACGTGATATTCACGTTCCGCATCCCACACGTGACTCCACATTTCCACGACGTGATGCCCCGCGGTACGCAGTTCCAACGTTCTCTCCCGCGTCTTGTCGCACAGATCGCCCATGGTCACCCCCAGATGAGCATGAACTTGACTTCGCCTGAAGCACACTTCGCACCCGTGGTAGAAACAACCGTGAAATTGATACACGGTGTTGGTTCGACGATCGTACCCGTCCACCTTGCTGCCTTGCAAGGTAATCTCGCCCAGCGTGCTTCCGGCCCAAAGCAGTTCAGGCAGGCCCAACGAGTGCAACCACTCCAGGGCTTGAACCGACTGGATGTCCCGCTGACGATACCCCAAMGGCGGCACGACGCCCATCACTTCCGATTCCAAGAAGTTCTTCTTGAAGACCGTCAGGCAGGTCGAGGCAATGGTGACGCACTCGGCAAAGGGGTCCACGTCGAACTTGTCGACGTAAAGCTCCCGAAACTTTAGACACCCCCGGGCCATGACCATCACGTCTTGGATGCAATACTTCTCGATTTCCTTCTTCATGACAAACGTCTTGCCTTCTTGCTCGTGCCACCACTCCATAAACTTCTCCTTCTCGCGGACGTCCATGTCGTTCACGCCGTAATACTCGGGAGCGGGGTAAGGGCCTTCGTACTGCGTATTTTCCAACGTATTAAAAAAATGAGGAAAATGGCCCTTATCGCCTCCCGACGTTCCAAAGGTGGCCGGGAACTTGCGTAGCGCCATGGGAATAAAGCACACCGAATCTTTAAACACGATTCCTTCCAGCGTCATGGTAATGACCTTACTCCCTTGGTACACGCACTTGGGCTTGATGCCTCGCTTGACGCACTCCTCCAAGATAGGGTACGAGTCGTATCCCTTGAGGTTGTGGGCCATAAACGTGTACAAGGCATGCACGTCGCGCTTAGGCCCCAACAACCAATCCATGAAGGTCGAGGCATCGTCAAACGTGAACATCCGTTGTCGGCCGCACGTTCCCGTGCATCCTCGCGTGCGGTACTCCTCCACGTGAGATACGCATTCGTGGCACGTCAGCAGCACTACCACTTTTTTCACCACGTGACGTTCCTCCAGGCACCGAGCCTCAAAGTCAAAAAACGCTAGGAAGAATTTGCGTTTTTCGTTCTTCTTCTTCTTGGGTCGAGCACTACCCTCCGTAGGATCGCTGCTCACTCCCTTCACGTAGCACAAGTGTTCTCCTCGCTTTACTTTCTTCTCCCGACACACCAAACAATCGTATTCGTAGCAGACGTGATCGTCGACCATATACCACACCTTGGTCTTTCGATCGTAGCGCATTCGATCCACGGTAGTCTTGCACTCACGACACACGTACCGTCGTTCACAGGTGGTATAGGCCAACGACCCCTTGCGACGTCGCATCAGGTGCGAACGGTAACACACGCTGGACCAAAACCCCACGTGACATGCGTCGCACGTGATGCGCTGATTAGAATACTTGACGTAGTGGTCGTTCCGTTCTTCCCCACACCGCAAGCAAGGACGTACACACTTGTGCGTTTCTTTATTGCTGTACGCCTTATTGCAGTGTGTGCAGAAGTACACCCGTCCCAACCACCCTGCCATGGACTCGATCCAAGTAAAGTGTTCGTCCATCCAATTCAAGTAAATGGAGGTCAACGTGCCATCGCGTTTTCCCGTGCTGCTCCCAAACGAGGCTACCACGTACCGGTTCTTCTCGTCGTACACGCACAACTCGAATCCGTGTTCCTCATCCATCGCATACCCCTCGTTAATGCTCGCACACCACCGCTTGACGTCGTCCAACCCACACGCTTGATCCCAGGTGTCCTCCATGCCCATCTCGCCGTACCAATCCTGCAAGGATTTCTCGTACCCTCCTTCAGCCGCCACTTCCAACCCCAACCCCTTCAGCGCCCGGTACAAAGCCCTTCCCAGACAATTCTCGTGCTCATCGTCAAACACCCGCGAGACCTTACGCCGCTTGACTTCCTCCGTGGCCTTGTAGTGCGGCCTCTTCTTCCCCAATTCGTACTTGGTTAAGGCCTTTTCTTCACTGCAGGCATGCGTTCTCTGGTGACGATAGATCATGCCACACCTCAAGCACAACCGATGGTGCAAGACCCTGGCCTCCCCATACAACACATCGGGCGACACGACGTCCAGCATCGCGGGGTCTCATTCGTCCAGCCACATGACCCATCCCTCCGTTTCGCTACTGTACACGCTTTTCCAGATGACCTCGGGATACGCCCCAGGGCCTCCCTTTTGACAAAGGACCAAAATGTTCGGGGAAGGGTGCACGACACACCAACGCGTCAATACTTCTTCCCACGTCCATTCGTGCTGCACCTCCAACTCTTGCCTCACCTCGTCCCTCGTCCTCACGCTTCGCCACGCTAAGATCTGAATCACGTGTTCCGCTACCTTCGATCCCACCGCCGCCGGTGGCTTACGTAGGACTCCCCTTTCCAACCGATCTCGCAAAAGTTCAGGAGTCATGATGGTCGTCGTACACACCCGTCCTCGTCCCTTCACGTCTTTGATCACCGTCACCGTAATGTCCAACGATCGACCCAGCATCCATTCCCTCTTGGACTGTTGAATCATTTCGATGGCGTTGGTCAACATCAACCTCTGAAATTGAGGCGTGTGGTACGGACGTATGGCCAACGACACCGGATATTCCAAGTCCCCACCGTAAAGGGTCATGCCTACTTGATCCCGAGCCGTCAATCCTTCCTCACCCGCAATGCGTTCCATAACTTGATCAAACAAACGTTCCACCCATCGAACCCCCCATTCGTCTTCTCCTTCTTCTCCTTCCTCTTCCAAGTCCTCGTCGTCGCCGTCGTCGTCGTCGTCGTCGTCGTCGTCGTCGTCGTCGTGACCCACGTACGGCCTACGTTGGCGACCGGCCTGTTCCAAGCTGGACCTCGTCTCGATCCGATACGAAATAACCCGCGTCCTCATGGGCACGTTCACTGCAAACACCGAGCGGGCACAACTCTTAGTCAGAGACGAGCTCCTCGTGCTCCTGCCGGACGGCATGGTGCGAAAACACTAAGCGATTGCCCACACCGTACTCCTCTATTACATACACTTTCGTACGCCCTCGTTTCGGATCCACCAATGCCTGCTTTACTCGGGCCCGTTCTCTGGCTCGGCGCGAAAGCACAAACGCCGCTCTTCTCTTGCGTTCCTGATGCTTTTCAATAGCATCAATCCATCCCGTCAACGTATTGGCTAGGCCATGTACCGCCTTGACGTATTCCTTCGCGTCTTGCAAAAACTGGGGTTCGGGGGTCGTGCCTTCTTTATAATGTTTGGATAATGCCTTCGCAAAGCCTTCCTTTAGAAACAGAAAGAAAAAAACAAAAGACATCCAGTTAAGATTCAACGGGTATACCCGTATTTATTCACGTATTCGGTTACATATTGTTTAAGCAATAGTACATCAAATTTATCTAACTCTTCAATGCCCCTAGTCTTTAACAACTCCACTACATTAAAAAACGTTCTCCGAACTAAGATGTATTGCGTGCTTGATAACATGTCTTGATTGCTATAATCATCTTGTCTCACTACGTCCATGGCTTGATAAATGGTATTCTTTATCCTCTTACTCATTCTTTGCTTTCGATCGCATCTCTTTGTCATTTTCATACTGATGAGTACTGCATTGTTCAAAAAGCAAAAAATAAGCTCATGCCTAAAGCCACGTACACGCAACGCTTAATCGTACTTACCACACTGGTATCTTCGTATCCTACGTTGGCTTTACTGGTGATTCACTATACAAAACATATGCAAACCACAGATCCTGGTCCTCCTATATAGACCCTACCTAGGGGGGTGGTGGGACCCCCTACCCTCCCCTCCCTACCCCTATATATCTAAGTCCATTTTCGTACCCAATCACCAAATCGTATACCTAGATACCTAGTACTTAGTTACTTACTTAACCAAAGCCGACCTTCGTCATGCCACCCAAGAGATCTAACCGCCGCGTGATCGTCCCTCATCCAGATCAAGTGGATCAAACCGTGCCTACTCCTCCAGGGACACCACCGCCCGCAGCGGACCCTGCACCTGTGCTGGCACCGGTACCGGCACCTCAGTTCAATCGCTTCAACATTGATGATCCCTATGATTCTGATGACCCCGTGGTGGTTAACGCCCGTAATGCCTACATCAATAATCATGATTCTGATAACGAATCCAATGCCGAACATGGCCGATGACGTTAAGAACCAAAGACGAGCAGCTAAAGGCAAGTTTACCAGAAAATTAAACGAAGKAAAGAAGGCTATCGACGAAGATTGTGGAGTAGAAATAGTCAAGAGAAATTACGACGAATTGGTTGAAACCTGGAAGACCGTTGAGTTAAAGCACGATGTTTATACCACATTCCTGACTGATGAAGAGGTAGAAGCCGGTGACACATGGATTCTGGAATT